TTTTTTTTTTAAGTGTTACCAGAATGTATATAAGATAGTTTATTTTGTTTTTCTGTAGGCAATATTTTTTATTTGTTTTAAGACTCAACTTTATTAAATCTACCATGTTTATTATTTTTTGCAGTGTACAAATGCACATGCTTTTATGACTGTTCGGCTTATAAATCTAGAATCAAAGTTAATAGAGAGCGCTTAATAGCTGACATCTTATTAAGGTGATAATTCGTTCGTAAACGTAAGGCTCTGGTCTCCAGCATCACCTGAGCAGGTATCTGATGAACAGGACGGTCTGGGAGTCCTCATCCTCTTCAAACGAGGGAACGATTTCCAACATCTGCTGGTGATCTGGGATCTCACGCTTAGTTGCAGTGCGCACCAAATCAGTTATGCTGCATAAACAATAAGTTCATCAATGAGTAAAAATACCACTTCTCTTTTTAGACTAAATCAACGACGAACCCAAACTTTATAACCAGCATTATCTTCAGTGTACTTACATAAGATACTGTTACATAAGAATAGTTGCTGTGAATTAATGTAGAGAGTGTTTATTTATGTAAGGGTGTGGTATGGACTCGCTCATAATTATAGAAGAACAGGAAGGTCACTGTTATGCTTAAGTAACATCGGCTATGTTGAGAATAAAGTACTTGCTTACAGCACAAAAACTACAGTGCATACTATCTTTCAGCAATCAAATAATGAGTTAAAAAGATGTTAAAATATTAGCTTATATTCTGCTTCATTTGACCACATTGTGATTCAGTAAACAATGTAGTGTGCTCTGGCTGTATACTGCACATTTTGTCAAATGTAGTACAGTACATGATGTCTATTTAGTGCAGAACATTTGCATACTGTGCACAATATACACTGCCGGTCAAAAGTTTGAAAATAGTTCAGATTATGTTTTTTGAAAAAAGTTATTTGGTTCACCAAGGCTGCATTTATTTGATCAAAATACAATAAAACATTTAAATATTATTACAAGTATAACTTTTATTTTGTACCAAACTTTGGACCGTTTTCACATGCTTCTGCATCATGCCAAATGTTTTACAGAAATGTATATGAAGAAATGGCAGGAAGGTGCAGCACGTGACACGGGGTAATACATTTCTTTCTTTTTTTCTCTCTGTTAATTTGTCCTCTGAGACCAATTTTAGTTCCATCAGGAAGAAGCCGTGAATAACCTTGAGATCTCTCAGCAGACTTATGTTAGATATTCAGGAATATGCAGAGGGGAGTGAGGGGTTAATGAAAGCTTCAAATGACCATTATGCTGGAAAGCCTTAGGAAAATTCCCATTATCCCAAAATAAACACTAGGGGACAAATGTCTCGAAATCTCTCAGTCTAGACAGATCTAATGACATATTGCTCTAGAATTCAGGTTAATATCATGCAGGTAAACATTCAATATAACATACACAAGATTAATGCAGTGTGGAATATTTCCCTGAAAAACAGCTGTATGTCGGCATACACACCTTAGCTTCAGGCGATCAGTATGATCCGAGAGATCACTGTACAGTACAGCAGTACCATAATACAAGCCAGTGATGCTCAACTTATGGTTTTCCTGAAATGAGAAAGAATTATTAATTCAACTAATTCAATAGACATTCTGTGTGCCTGCAAACATTTGTCACTCATTGTGTGTTTTCATCTAGACTGTCTGATTTTTTAGTTAACCAATTTCCTACATGCACTGCTCTTCAAAAGTTTGGGATCGGTACGATTTTTTACATTTTATTTAAGAAATCAATACTTTTATTCAGCAAGGATGCATTACATTTGGCCAAGAAAAGAATCTAGAAAAGAATGTATCATGGTTTCCACAAAAGTAATAAAAAACATGTTTTACTTGAGCAGCAAATCAGCATATTAGAATGATTTCT